GTTTTCGCAAAATGAACAAAAAAGTCGTTTTTTTGGACCTTTTCAGTATTTTCAAGTTTTCTCAGCGAGGGAAGGTTTCCTGAGGCCGGTGAGGTGATATTCGTGATGAGCTCAATGCGCTGAACAAGAATATGTATGATAAAGTAAAAAAAAAATTTCACTGCAAGTTTGCTTTACGTGCATCTTACACTAACAACAACTATAGTTAATTTTTTTCTTAATTATATCAATCGTCGAACAAATCGATTAAAAGAAGAGATAGCTTATGAAAAAATATCGCTTTATCGAAAACAATTATTACGTGTTCAACGACGTTTAAAATCAAGCAAAAAAATGGTCACTGTAAAGCCGACTGTCATTGTCGACCTTTTGTATCATCCATTTACGGCTGCTCAACTTGATTATCTTTCGAGGGGTAAGATTCTTTTTTTTTTCTCAGTTATTTAATATTGATATTCTCCTTTTTATTTTTTTCTCTTCAGGACCAACTTATATACGACCCAATCCAAGTATATTTTTTCCACAAAAAACTCTACAAAAACGAATTGATAGAGAACATGATGATACAATGAAAAAACTCAAGAAATATATGTCCAGTGTCGCTGATCTACCAAAAATACCACTCAACTCACCCTTATATAAATCATATTCTAACCAACTTCGATCTTATTTATCTCAAAGTTATATGACACTAATACCATTAATCGATCAAATACGTGCTCTACGTGAATTAAAAATGATTCAATCAATTCGAAAAAAATTAAAAAAATATAAACTTATATTACGTGAAACAGATAAAAGTGGTGTACTTCATATTGGTTCTGCTATTGATTATGAACGAAAAGCAGCTGAATATCGACAAACAACAGGTGCTTATGAAGAATTAACTTCTAATCCATACAATGATATCATCTGTCAGGTAACTCGTTTACTTAATCAATTAAAATCATTGAATCGAATACGTGAATGGCAACGAATAAAATTGATGCCTGCACGAAAGACGACCGAATTAGCTTATATGTATTTTATTCCTAAACCACATAAGGTAACCACTTGTTATACATACTTTTTTTTTTCAATTTCCTGAATACTAAATGAACTTTTTTTTGTTAGAAAGGTACACCACTACGACCAATTTTAAATACAATTCATGCGGCCACGAAACAAATTTCTCAATTCTTAGATAAATTAATTCGACCATTATTTGATCGATTTGTACGTCAAACAACGTTTGTAGATGGTGCTGATCTTCTTGATCAACTTCAAAAATATATTCAAAAAGGTTATTTTAATGCATCGACTCTCTTCATTATATTCGATATTTCAAATCTTTATACAATGTTACCACAAGAAGAATCTTTAGCTATACTTGCTGAATTTCTTCATACACATAATTGTGAAAGAATTAATGGTCTTTCAATTGATACTATTATCGAATTAGCTCGTGTGGTACTTCAAGCAAATGCTTTTGTTTATAATAAAAAATTTTATCGACAAATTATTGGTGGTGCTATGGGATCAGCATTTACTTTAACATTAGCAAATATCTTCATGTGGAAATGGGAAAGACAAACTATTTTACCAAAATTACCTTCGCATGAATTATATGGCCGGCACGTATTTTCTTCAGTATCCAAAAAAAATTTAGTTTTAGCGTTTTTTTTTTCAATTATAGATATATTGATGACGTCTTCTTTACATGTAACCAATCGGAAGACAAGGTGAAAGAATTATTAGAAGCAGCAAATAAATTTCATCCAAGTATTAAATTAGAATATAAGATAGGAAAAAGTGTTCCGTTCCTTGATGTTCTTGTTCAAAACAACAATGGTATTTTGGCATCATCGCTTTATCATAAACCTTCGGCTGAACCAACTGTGGTATCGTTTTTATCGGATCATCCACGACATGTATTTCGAAATGTGATTCAAACTGCTCTCACTCGAGCTGTACGATATTCATCAACATTTGAAATCTTTAATAATGAACGTCGTGCTATTCGTTTAATGTTCCTATATAATAAGTAAATCATCTTTGTTTTTTTTTCTTGATCTATTACATCACCAACTTTTTTTTTCCAGATATCCATCCAATTATATTAATCAACAATTCGAAAAATTCTTTGCTGACTATATGTCATCAACTTCTTCGTCAATTTTACCAATGATTACTAATGAAAGTCAATTTTTTGCATTACGTGAAAAATTATCAAACCAACCAACCAACAGCTAAACAAACACAAGTTGCTATGAGTGCAGCTGCGATTACATGTCTTCGGAGAATATCCCCGGAAACTCGATTATGTCCTAGGGTAAGAGGTATATAGATATATAGGTATAGGAGGTATAGAGGTATAGGAGGTGTAGGAGGTATAGAGGTATAGGAGGTATAGGAGGTATAGAGGTATAGGAGGTATAGAGGTATAGGAGGTATAGGAGATATAGGAGGTATAGGAGGTATAGGAGGTATAGGAGATATAGGAGGTATAGGAGGTATAGGAGATATAGGAGGTATAGGAGATATAGGAGATA